CTCAGCTTCCTGACTCCACAGGACCTAAAAACATTATTAGATTATCTAGCCACTGAAAGAAAAAAATATTTATTTCAAAAAAATCTTTTTATGAAAAGTTGAACAGTTTTATTTTCTTATTGACCTTCTCTACTGGCCTTCTGCTCTAGAGAGCCCGAAGATATAAACTCTATGAAATCATTGCACTCTAAGAATTTCTTTGGGGTATTATATTGCGGTCATGATAAACTTTTTAGATAATATGCGTCTCCGAATGTTATTCTTAGTCACTTTCTGCAGAGATGAGCCGCTAAGATGGATCTGAAGCGTGCTTCTCCATTACATCAACTTCTTTCAACAGTCTGCCTCTTAAACCAATCAGCGATCAATACTATCGTCGTCACATTACCACTAATGCTATCAGCAGTTTACCATAGGGAGTGATTATCTGACAGACATGAGACCCACTGGGATGCAGAAACCTTGCAACTGCAGAGAGGATCCAGACACATCAGAGGTCTGAAATATCACCATCCACTACTGCTACCAAACTAAGATACTCTGTCCACAGAGAGATGCTGCTTTGGCTCCTGATTCCTGTTTGCCATCCGACTCGACTCTGGAGGCATATGGGAATTAACAGGAGAAACATTCCCCATTAAGCAGCAGCTGGTTTCCTGTCAGAGCAGAGGTAAAAGACGAGCGAGGTTTGAAGTCCAGCGTTTCCCAGAATAGCGGCAGACATGATAGCACGCATGCACCCTCTGAAGGCCAGGGTCGCTCCGGTTTAATGCAAAGATCCATCCGGAACAGGTTGAGGATTCAAAGAGAGTAAAAGCAGAACAGAAACGGATGAAGGAGAATAACAGGGATAGAACTTGAAATTAAAATCTTTGATATGAGGTGAAAAATGACATAGATGCTTTCAAAAACTAGCTTAGACGTATTTCAGTCATTTTCTGTGAAAGGTGACCTTCATTCTGAGGGAAACAAATTCAAGCTGTGAAACATTCCTGTAAAACAACCATGTTCTAAAAATGAAATATAAACATGAAATTCAACCTAATAGAAGCATTTTTGTTTAAAGACAAAATGAAGAAAATCACAACCTGCAGAGCACATGTCAAACTCGAGGCCACCGGCCCAAAAGCAGCAAGTCACGGCAAGTTATTCGGCTCTCAAAAACAAAAAAGGACATATTATGTACTACAGCAGATATGTGTTCTCTTTTAAACCGTAAATAATGCGAGTACGCTTATAAAAGCAGAGCAGTGTGTTCTCTGTTAATACAATAATGAAATAAAGGTTTCATTTAATCAGTACATCTGCAACCTTCCCTTTTAAAGACCCGAGGATCACAGAGGTGCCCAGAATGGCAGCCTAGTGGTTAGAGCATAGAGCTTGGAATCCTGAGGTTGCGAGTTTGAAACCCTCTCCCACAGACTGCCACTCTGGCTTCCTGAGCAAAGACCATACTGCTCCCTGGGTACCGCAAATGGCAGCCCACTGTTACGCAAGAGGAGGGGGAAAAAAGAATAAAAGACAACTGACACTCCTGCAGTAGATGATGTCATTCTAGGATCACATCAACTAGATTTATACAGTTGAAAAAATATTTGTTCTGCAGAGTTTTTTTTTTTTTGGCTGGATGCTGCAAAGACAATCCACATTCTGGCTGATTTCCTTTTAGTGAGGAAACTCTTCACTCCTTAGTGAACAGATGAAGTTCTACTGCATGCATGTCAGCAGGGCTGCTGTCCTTCATATTTTTAGCATGTTCCTGCTTTTTATTAATCTTGTTCAAGTAAAGTATGAGCAAACATCTACATCAAGAGACAACATCCATGCCTAGATTTTGTGAAATAAATACAGGTCAGCCAGATTAGATGGAGATTCTAAACTGAATTTATGTCTGGACTTTGACCGTTCCAACACATCAGGCTGTGAGTTCAGATCCCCTCACACCATGATGCTGCCACTACAGAGTATCACCACATGGACGGTGTGCTCAGGGGGAGGAGCAGTGCTAGTTCTTCTCCCCCATCAGCTAAGACGTTCCTTTCTGCTCATGTTTGAACCATTTCTGCCATTAGTAACTTTGGCAGAGTGGAGGTTTTAGGGATGTTCCTTTGGCAATGCAGTGTAGGTGTAACTGAAAACAGAGAGAAAGCAATAACAAACCAAAGCCACATGTTCAAACAGAACATGCTCAGCAGAACGGCTGATTAAGTTTCCCTCTGAGACAAAGAGGAATCACAGAAAGTAGAAAATCCCAGTTCCCAACTCAGGAGCAAGCATTGTTATAAAGAGACATGATGAGTAATCATGTTCCGCAAAGAAAGAGTAGGAACCAAAGCATTAGTTCCACTTCCAACCTGAGAACAATCACAGATACATAACAGTTAAATCCGGGTCAGCATCCAGCAGAAAGACATAGAGGCTTGAGGTGAGGTTCTGAACCAGTCTAAAATGTATGAACACACTGAATTATAGATCTTAGTTATAAATGTTAATAATGTTATAATGATGCTTTGAGCTGCAAAGCATCATTCTACCTTTGGTTTTTGCTTGTGAGTAGGTGAAACAAAGAAATAAACATTTTAAACTGCTCTACACACCCATGGGTTTGTTAATATGCATTATGATGTCATATTGAAAGTTTCTATCTAAATCAACCAAAAGAAAGTCTGCAGAGAGATTAAAAGGTGTTTAAATCCAATTTGATGCATAAAATGTTTAAAAAGAATAAGGAGATAGTCTTTCCTCTTTCAGAAGAAACTATAACAAGCTGCTGCTTAGCTTGCCTAGCAGCATGGAGGTTGTCTGCTTTTAGAGCTAACTTTTAGAAAAGATGAAAACCTGTGTAAACTTAAATCACGATGCAGGAATCCATATTTCAGGCGTCTTATTTTACATTCATGCTTCAACTTCTCTGATGCACCTTATTGCTCCTCAGATCTTTCTTTCTGTGTGAATGCCAAACTTAAAAAGCTGAACTTTGCACACATCCTTGAATCCTGCCTGGTCTGGATGGGCGTCTCTTAAAGAGACACCTGTACAGCTTCAGTCAAACACACATTAAAAACCCGGCTGTCACGGTTCAGAGAGCTGGTTTGGATCTCAGGTCAATCAGTGATGTCTGCTGCTGAAGCAGTCTGAACACGTAAACCCAGTTAAAATATCTAGACAAACGGTCAGTTTGCATCCTTTCATGTAAACCCTTAAATTTCCTTCCTCTAAATATCTACTTTTCCCCCCTTTTGGGGGCCTTAATAAGACCCCGTTGGATAAAACAAGCATAAAAGCCTAAACATACTCTGCTCTTCCTAATTTCTATTCCTTTTAAGGATGAAAAAAGGGAAGATGAGAAGCTCTCCGCTGTCTTCTGTTAAAGTGACCCATTTGTTAAATTTCCTCAGAGAGCCCAGCGGGTCCCTGCAGGGCTGATCCAGTCTTCCAAAGCCACTTCCATCAAACACACTAAAATCTATTAAATTCACTGAGCTTCACGACCTGCAGATGTCTTTATGTTTTCATAAAGTTCCTAAAACAGGCAGACCAGACGCAGAAACAGAAATATGTTTAAAGAGCAAAAACAAGCAAACTGAGACAGTTAAAGATGTCCTAAACATCCTCCAGTGTTCATGCACATGCAATGATTCACAATGATAAATGTCAAGGAAAAACACACACAGGTGGTGCAAAAATCTGCTGTTTAAGATGAAAGCTTGACTAATTCCTGGATTGCTCTTATTTTAAATAGTTTAATTATTATTTTAAAAAGTCATAAAAAATGGTGTGTGAGCATCTGCTTAGCAAAAAAAAAATTTTTATGCCAGTAGGAAGTGTTTTTCCAAATGGATGTAAATTAAATTAGTTTCTTTAATTAAAAGAGCTTATTGCATTTAAAAAAAATCCAATCTGCAATCTAATGGGATTTTATTTCATCTTTCAAAATAAAAGTTTAACAACAGCTTCAGTTTTTAAGGCATTTGGTTTCATTTCTGTAATTGTATTATTATAGCTTATTTGTTGACTGTCTTACTATTTTCTTAATCAAAATATTATTTTATTTCCATGTTAAGAATTATTTGATATAGTCTGTATATTCATTACATTTGCTTGTTTTTTTTAACCTTACTGGTTTTGATTTAAAGATTACTTATTTCTTATCTTATCTTAGAACAGGATATAGAAAAAAATTAAATTAAAACATATTAATTTTGTTGTAGTACATAATTATACAGTTTTTAAATTGTGTATTTTTCTATATTTTCAGTACTTTTAAAAATAAAATTGGCATCTTGATTGTATTGCAAGTATTCAAAATGTTTTACAGTGTACTGATATTTTGATTATATTATTTAAAAAAAAAACATTTTTTGTTTTATATTTGCTTTTATCTTTTAACAAATGTTGCTTTAATTATTTTGCTGTTAAAATACAAATAAGTAAATACATAATGAAAATTTATTTTGTTTTTCACTCTTTAATCTGAAGGATTATTATGTGTTTTTGGTTACATTTGCATTTCCTTCTACTACTTTTAATATTTGCTGGACAACTTTATTCATAAGGAAGATACTGTCAGGTTATTAAACAACTTTTTAAGACCAATTTCTAGGATAGATAATGGATCAGTGCATTCAGTGAAACAAAGCAGACAAGTGACCTTGGCAGACACTATGGTTATTACTGCTAATCTAATCTATTATATCACCTTCAGTTAACATTTTATGAGTCTACCTGCTGAAGATTAAGTAAAGACCAGTACTTCAGCCTCTAGGGGCCCATGGTGGGACCCCGACCCAGGAACCCCCTGCATTGTCTCTGTGTCCATCACAGACAACAGGTATCCCACAGTCCTTGAACGCACCACTAGAGTTATAACTTAAGCCATGGCGGCGTTGGCACAATTGGCTCAATAAACACAACAGTTTCAGTCACGAACACCCTTCATTCAGCATGCCCGCTCAGACACCCACGGAACACGGTCACTGCCCCACGGCCACGCAGCTTACCGGCTGGCATTGTGGAGCTAAAGCACCGCAGACTGTTCCAGCCGAGCCCCGTCAGTTAGCCTCCATGTAGCTTCTCCCCCGCCGCTCCGCTTCACCTGCTATCCGGATGCAGAGTCTCTGTTAGCCGCTGACCACCTGTTCAGAGTCGATAAACAGAAATCACCTGACTGACACCCAGACAGACAGCTCCGTTCAGGGCTGAAAGCTGACCGCTGACACACGGAGCTACAGCCCCATTAACAGTCCTCCTCCCCGGGAGGGTTTCACCAAGCTGCCGCTGCAACACGGCGGGGCTTTAACGCACACTTTAGCGGTAAATGGAGCCCAGGGAAGGACGTACCTGTAGGTAAACAGCAGCAGATTAGCTCCCACACAACACCGCTCTGCTTCCTGCTTTAAGGAGACACAACACGGAAGTGAGACGCTGCGGCGGAGCCAAACAAACCAAAACATATGCGGTCTGAGCAGCCAGAGAGGCGGCCAATTATAGCAGCCTGAGGCAAGGTGTGTCTGCAGAGATATGTCCTCTAAAGAGGGACACGTT